AAAAAAAAAAAAGAAGAAAAAAAAAAAGAATACAAAAAACAGCTCTGGAAATAAGAAAATTGTGAAAACAAACAAAAACCAGATCCCATAGAAAAATGGCCTAAGTACACAAACAACTCACAGGAAATAAAAATGGCCTTCAAATATATAAAGACATGGTCACCTTCACTCTTAAAAGACATGCAACTAGAATCACTAGATACTGGTACCGTTTCTCATCTATCTGACAGACAAAAATCCACAACTTTAATAATATAGTATGTTGTTGCTATAGGAAAACAGGTACTCTCATACACAGCCGGTTAAAGTGCAAACTGCTGCCAATCCTTTTGGAAGGCAGTACAGAAATACTCCTCAAAATCAAACATGCCTCATCTTTGACACAATAATACCACTTCTGGAATTTTCCCATGCACCTGCACAGGACAAAGTAAGTTCAAAGCTATTCATTACAGTACTGTATCATTTACAATAGGAAAATTAAGAAAACCCATTCTACCACAGGATGGTTAAATAAAACCACGTTACTGCCACATAATTGAAGTCCGTGCAGTTGTTAAAAAGAACAAAGCAACATTCTGATGAATACGTAAAGATCTCCAGGTAGTTGGGTAACAAAAAGCAAGGGCGCGACAGTGTGTATTTTGTACTACCTTTTATGAAAGAAATATGGAAAAAAACTATTTCCATACTGTATACCTATACACAAAACTGGAAGGATCTACAATACAAAAAAGTGAAGTCATTACTTATGGAGACAGAGTAGATGAGTGCAAAAGTGAAGTTAAGACCTACTGATGTATAACTTTTTATACTGTTGTGATTTCTGAAACATGAAAATGTATAAAACATTACTCATTCAAAATAGAAAGTTTAAAAATGGGGGCACCTGGGTGGCTCAGTCGGTTAAACATTCGACTCTTGATTTCAGCTCAGGTCATGATCTCATCAGGGTTTGTGGGTTTGAGCCCCACATGGGGTCTGCTTGGGATTCTCTCCGCCCCCCACTCACTCTCTGTTCCTCCCTTGCCTGTATTCTCTCTCTCTCCCTCTGTGCCCTCCCCTGTTCCTGTTGTCTTTCTCCCTCTCTCTGCCCCCCACCTGCTAATGTTCTTTCTCTATAAATAAGCCTTAAAAAAATAAAAACAGGGGCACCTGGGTGGCTCAGTTGGTTGAGTGTCCAACTTCAGCTCAGGTCATGAACTCACAGCTCGTGGGTTCGACCCCACGTCAGGTTCTGTGCTGACAGCTCAGAACCTGGAGCCTGCTTTGGATTCTGTGTCTCCCTCTCTCTCTCTGCCCCTCCCCCGCTCACACTCTGTCTCTCTCAAAAATAAATAAAACATTAAAAAAAATAAAAATAAATAAATCAAGTTTAAAAATAGATTAAAAAGAAAATTTCTCTTCCCCCACTTCGGTCCTTGGATTTAGCACATGCTTTCAACCTACCCCCTAGGGGATGGAGACCTGGAAGATTTCCTTTTTACAGTTTTTGATGTTCTTGGTGATCTGGAAGAACTCCTGCTTCTCCTCCTACGCCTTTCCCTGAAAGATGAAAATATGTCATTTAAAAATATAGCAATTTAAATACAGGACAATTCAAATATACAAAAGAAAAGAATCCTTAATGCTCTCAAGTGAACAGTATTCTTAAAAGGTTAGTTTAAACTCATGTTATCTCATTTCAGTGCAGGTCAAATTCTGAGCAATTTTATAGACATGGAAAATATGTTCTAAGATTTCATAATAGAAAAGGTAGAAGACCTTCTTTTCATCTGGTTTATGTGAACAATAATTTCCTGAATAGAAAGAATATTAGATGTTTCTGATTCTCTCAAGTAGGTTCTTCCTCAGCATCTAAAACATTTTTTATGTATCCAGATCCTCTGTCATGCTTCTAGCTCCTCGCTGCCCCACTGTGGATTATTTCTTAACAAAGTAATAGGCCCTTTTCAAGAACTAAAAGATTAAGTTGGCTTGTAAAAAGTGAACTTATCAGATCTGAGCATTTAGAATGTCTCTAAAAAAGTATTTACATTAATTCACTTTACAGAGAAATTGTTTTACCCTCCAACTTCCTACCATTTTATTACTCTATTCATTTAAAACTGAGTGCACAAGTTGCTAAGACAAAAGTAAAACAGTTAAAGCCTGGGGCTTAAATATGAAATAAAAAATAACTACTACCTTAACATTGTTTAGTATTATTAAAAACTATTTTGCTTAACTTGTTAGCAAATGATGCATATTCAAAATTACTTCATTGAAAACCTGGCCAAATGAGAAACAATGAATTTCAAGATGTCCATAATTCAGGGGATAAGATAGGGGAACATACTAATTACAATTAACGTGTCTAACGACCTATCTCACAAGAAGCCCTGATTATTAGGCCATATAGGTGAAAGAACCAAATCCCCTAGAATTCAAGTCCTCCATACCACTTCAGCAAGAAGATTCTAGGCTAATAAAACATTTTGCCAACATCTCTCATTATAAAATATAAAAAAAACTAGATAATGCTCAGATGTGGTAGATACAGATGTTTAAAAAAAAACCTCAAGACCTTTGGAAACACAATTCCAATTCTACCTAAGGCTCTCTCATCCATTACCCAATTTTAGTTCCATGACACCCCAAAATTACACATCCTGACTAAAGTGAAAATTAGGTAACGATATTCCATTCAGTTAATGCCATGTCTTAACAGCTCAGCACAAGTACGGGAGGTAGTTATCTCACAGCATGAGAATGTCAGTGTATCTTACTTGTTTACACAAAATGATTCTACTCTGACCAGTTTAAGTCTTCACTCAAGAAGCACTATGTACAGGGGGACATCTAATGACTAATACCTGATGTCATTGAGAGCTAAGGCTGGAAAGACAGCAATCTAGAGTGTCAATTTGTTGAGAAAAAAAGCAGTCAGCTGTAGTTTGAAGAACTGTAGTTGGTTAGACTTAGATTGAAACTTTGGTTCCACACCTTATCAGCTGCATAACTAGGGTCATATTACATAATCTGAGTTCCAATTTTTCCAACTGGAAAACGGAGTTAATAACTCATGCCTTGTGGTGCTGTGATGAGGATTTAAGATAATACTTGTAAAGCACCAAGTACAGTCTCTCGCACAAACCCACTGTCAATAAATATTTTCTGCTTAAACATCAAAATTTTTTTTTAAAATGCAGATTAGGGGACAATCTTGAAAATAAAAATACCAAGCACACTCTTTTTCTGAGCAGTTAAAATGTTTCCTGTGTACTCAACAATTCAGAGCACATGAGAAACAGAAAAATGCTAAAAGCTAACAAACTGTAACTCTTCGCCAAGCTCTTGTGAAAGCATGAAACATTCCAAACTTCTGAACCTTTAGAAACGGATGTCAGTCAGTGTTTATTCTCCAGGCCCCAGGGGCTAGTTAAGAATATATTTAAGAATGAATGTGAATATCTGAACTTTCTTGAATGTCAAGCAACTTAAAATGGCCCCTGAAAAAATTAAACACTTCAAAGTCAACAAAAAAGTAAATGCAACTAATTTAAAAGGAATCAAAACAGTATTTGTGTTACAAAGGGCAGTGACTAAATGACCACATAAACACAACAGAATATGTGACAATAAAATCACTGTGCAGTGAAGCGGCAGTTGTGAGGCTCAACTGGTATCCACAGCAATGAGGCCAAGGTAATTCTTCAGCTTCAGGTCCAGTGTGCCAAAATACGGCAGCCATCTATTATAAGCCCCATCTGAACATAGACTGCTGCTCTCAACTTCATCCTTCTGAGGCAGTTTTTAAAATCAGGTACCAAGTACTGGTTATAGAACTCTCAACTAAACTTAACCTCCTAAAAAGAAGAGAAAAGAGCTACTGTACTTCTAATATGAAAGTGCAGAGCAGATGGAGAATTTCCCCTAAGCTTCAATTTCTTCATATTTTGAAACCATGATAGTAACAGTCTTTTCACAGACTTACTGTGAAGATTAAATAAGGTAGGTCATGACAAACTGTGCTGAGACAAAATCTGGTATATGGTAAGGCATTCAATAAATGCCTGCAATTATCTTGTATTACCTAACCAAAGACTGGTATTAAGAACAGCCTAAAGTTAATAAAAACAGGAAATACACATTCATCTCCAATTATTTTCTATGCAAAACCACATTTAAAGTATACATAACACTGGCTAACACATGTATTTTTAATATCTAGCTTAACACAAGTTAGGAACCTCCGTTTATCAGTTATGGTATCCTCTGGAGTAATGGATACAGGTTTAGATAATCTTGAATCAAGGAAGGTCCTTTTTGCAGCTGTTACTATGGCAACCTGCTGCCACCTGGTGGCAGTGTACTTATTAATAGAGGGAACAATCTCTAAGAAAAAAGCAAAACCTTAAAATTGACAGATAAACGAAAACCAAAATTTAAACATCATGCACTCACTCAAGAAAAGAGAGCAGTAAAAATTAAAAAGACAAAAAGGACTAAAATTGCAATTTTAGTAATCATTTTGCATATTAAATTTACCATATCATTCCAAAAAAATATAGAAGTCTGAGATCGATTCTTCCCTATTTGAAAGAAAGAAAGAAAGAAAGAAAGAAAGAAAGAAAGAAAGAAAGAAAGAAAGAAAGAGAAAGAAAAGAAAAACTCGCCCTTGCTACCTCATCCTCCAAGAAAATAAGCAATAGCAGCCACTGCCACCACCAGGGTTAAAACAGTGGATTACAAACAACAGTTAAAACTTTTCAGATCATTTTGCCCAATTATCATATCTTCCTCCTCACAGATTCAACACTGTGGCAAATGCTCTAAGAGAGAAATGTTTACTCTGCAATTAGAAGGAAATGTTCTCATATTATTGGACTGTTTTCTCTTGCATGGAATAATTTACGTTTTCATTTGTCACCAGTAAAAATTTTAAGCATTATCAAACCTGCTGGAACTACGAGATCTTCTTGATGCATTGTAACTTCTGGGTGGTGTTCTGGATTTTTTATCCTTCTTTCTTTTCTCATCTATCTCTTTGGATCTGTCCTTGTCCCGTTCCTTTTCTTTGTCCTGCTCCTTTTCCTTTTCCTTGTCTCGCTCCTTTTCATGCTCTTTTTCCCGCTCTCTCTCTCTGTCTTTTTCCTTGTCTTTATCCCGGTCCTTTTCCCGGTCTTTATCTTTGTTTTTACCCCGTTCCTTTTCTTTTTCACGTTCCTTCTCCCTGTCTCTCTCTTTTTCCCTTTCCTTTTCTCTATCTTTTTCTTTCACTCTTTCCTTTTCCTTGATCTTTTCTCGGGTGTCTTTTCTCTTGTCCCTTTAAAAACAAAAATAAATAAATAAATTCACAACTAAAATTATTCTACTCCCCAAAAAGGACCTCCCTCTCTGTCCTCAACAATTATCAACACAAAACAATTTATACTAGTTTAGAATACATTACATAATAATTTCTATATAACCCAGGTGCACATGAAGCTGCTAAATGAAACAATTACCAGGCTCAATTAAGTATTTTAGAAACCTCAAGAGTCATTCTGATCATTAGACTCAAATCAATGGCAATCAATATTAATCACTACTAAAACAATCAGAAATGTTGCATGTCTCCCATTAAAAACCTAAACCACAGTAATTTTTTAACAAATGAAGCCATAAAAAAATTAACACTAACTTCCCCAAAACTCACCGTGAACGTGAACGACTCCGTGACTTCCGTCTCTCCCTTGATTTAGAGCGCTTTTTATGTGGGCTCTTAGATCTACGTCTGTCTTTTTGTCTTGAACGTGATCTATTATGGGATCTACTCCTAAAGAAAAACAAGTTGTTGGAACGTCAAAACTTACTCTTAGAATTTGTTTTTAAAAATTAAAGATGTCTTTCAGGTAAGAAAAATTTTAAACTGACCCCAACAGTATTTATCGGTATTTTAAAATTCTCTATTATGAAATGCTTTAGATTATTTGAAATAAATTATTTATTGGCAACTTTACCAAATAGTTCATTATCCAGAACACAAAGAGAAAGAAATTAAGTTCTCTTCTATGTCAGACTGAAGCTGGTACATCCAAGTGTGGCTTTTGGCTTTCCTTTGTTAATTATTATATACCAATTATTATAGGACTGCTCTCACAGAACAAGTTTTTATAGCATAAATTAAACTCTTGACTTACATGGAACAGGACAGCTTGTGGTTAAAGTCCGACAAGAAACAGTGGTTGTATGCCTGAATGGTTTCTCTAAATGGCTGTGAAAGGTTTGTCATAACATATACTAAGAATGTATTAAGGATGCACAGTACTAATTATGCTGCTAATGTGACAGGAAAGTAAACATCACTCATGAGTTAAAGCTACATATAATTAAATGTTGGATTCGCAAGACCTTGATTTTATAACTACATAAACACAGCTATTAAAAGAAACCTTTATTACTGGAATTCTTGCAGGAAAAATAATAACTCTTACTCCAATTCTGAAATTCTCTAGGCCCCTTCTTCCCACTGAAATCTTACTTATGTGACGTGACTTTTCTCATAATGTCATATCTTAGCAACTATGTATTAAAATATAACAAAACTGAATGCACACGACTTAAATAACAAAGTGATAAGACTCACCAGCTTTGGAGTGAAACAATCCGGCTCTGACACAGCTGTGCCACACACTAGCTGGCTCTGAGAACTCCAGCTAGTCATTACCCTCTCTAAGCCTAGTTTCTTCATCTATAAAGTTGGGAGTCAAAATCATACCTACATCACCTATGGCTGTCATGAGGACTGAGTCAGATGATACACGGAAAACTGCCTAGCAGTCTGGCACAGAGTAAATGCTTAAGATCCTTAATGCTCAATAACATCACTATTAATAATTAACATAACTGAAAACTTTCTATCTTTATATATTCCAAGGAGATCATATAAACTTCCACAAGTATGCTTTATACAATTAAAATTCATCTTGATAGTCATGTTTTCAGGAATTAAAAACAAAGATCTATAAAATACATACAGTTAAATGTTTGTGGTATGCTAAAAAACCAGAAAAATCTCCAATTTTCCATTAATCAAATCTTGTTTTTTAAACACATTTTTCAGTTAGTTAAAATTTGTTTTCTAATAGCTAATCCTCAACTGAATCGCTCATTATATTGCTTTAAAATTATACGTTCATCTTCATACCACATTTTTGATACAAGAAGGTAAGTCACAGTTTGTAGACATCTTTATTACTAATAGTCAAGTACTAGATATTAAGGCAAAACTGAAAACTTTTTTAATCCATTTATAGGAATCCACATAATGGTAATATTTCATAAGGCCTTTGCTTCTATGTACTTAATTGAAAGTCTAAACATTTCTGTTCTAGTTAATCTTACTGAAAATATACATAGTAATTCTGTTTTCCTCCAACACTGCTTTCCAACCTTAAACAAAGAAACACCTTTTAAAAAATTAAGTGTAGCCTTAGTAAGTAAAAATTAATTTAAAAAACGCTGTTCACGTGGCTTCATATCTTACCCTATGGTCCTCAGAGTTTGAAAGTCCCAAGAGTAATTACTGTAGTATTTTAATTTTGACATTAAATACTTTCAAGTCCCTATCTCACCCACTAGTCACCTACAAGAAGTGTTTTGATTAGGATCGCTAAAAGCTTCAAGTCAAAAGCAAATCTAATCCAACCACAGATAAAGACTTCAGTGATCATTAGGAGATCTTATTTTAGCATAAAATACAAAACTGCATTTATAAATTAAACTGCAAATACAGGGCAACTTACCATTATGTCTCATCAAAGTTCAACTCTAAGTCCGCTGTTTCCCATTAAAATACTATAAAATGTCTTAAGAGTTCCCATGCTGGTCTGTCAAGGTTACTCATGAAGGTCAAAGTGACAAGAAACTCCTTCCTACCTCCTATTATAAAAGGGGAAGGAACAGGGAAAGGATGGGGGCGCAGGGGTGTTGGGCCTAGAAGGAGGGCTCTAGAAGCATCTGAGGATGCTGAGAAAGTGGAAGAGGGTAGGCCTTCAAAAGCAAAGGATTCTAAACTCACACTCCTGCTATTAAGTTTAGTGGGGGAGAGCCAGAGCTGAGGTTGGTATCAAATCCAACTAGCAGGGGAGGGGAAGACAAGAAATGCCTACCATCCCCCTCCTCCCCTACCAGGGAAGTGGTAACAGGAGTAGGTTCCTCCATATCAAGATCCATAAGTCAAATGTTTCTGAGTAAGGGATTTTTTTTGTCCCCTTAAAAAAAACCTATCTTCTTTTGTATTTCTCTATGAGCTCAGTAAAGGTCACATGTGGTTCTACATATATAAAAATAGTACAAATTTATAAAATAAATCTATGTGAGTGGTAGGTATATATATATATATATACACACACATATATATATATATATGTGCATGTATATGTCAAGAACAAGCAATTTCTGGAACACCTGAAATTACCCAGTAATTCAGGGTGGCTGAGTAGGTTAAGCATCCGACTTTGGCTCAGGTCACGATCTCACAGCTCCTGAGTTCAAGCCCCACATTGGGCTCTGTGCTGACAGCTCAGCCTGGAGTCTGCTTCAAATTCTGTGTCTCCCTCTCTCTCTGCCCCTCCCCCACTCTCTCTCTCTCAAAAATAAACAAACATTTAAAAAAATACAAAAAAAAAAACCCAAGCAATTTCGATTGCTATGTAGTCAGACCTACAGGAAAGCATTCTCACGAATTAAGAACAATTAACAAATTACTTTAAATATTTCATAAATTTCATTTTAGACTGAATAATCCTTCTCCCACTAACCCTTGGAAAGGGAAAATATCCAAATATACCTAACCTAAAATAAGACCAAGACCAAGCACCTTAAAACAGAATTAAATAATATACTCCAACAGATAAATCTGAATTCACAGACCTCATCAAAGAAACAAATGTTAATCAAGTTTTGCTTTTTTCCAACCTTAGAAAACCATGAAGGTATCAGACTTGGAGCACACCTCTTGTCATCAACCCAAAATGAGATTCAGGTCTCGGGTCTCTTTTTTTCTTCAGAAAAAAAGTAATTACTCTTCAGCTCAATTCTGTATTTCCTGTAACTCCTTTACCTTCATCACAGCCTGTCAACCTGCAGAAATATCCACAACCTAGTACCACTGTTTCTGTACCACTTTCCTTCTCCAACTCTGGCTCCTGTGGCACTGCCTTGTTTCTTGTACGTGACACAACTTCCTTCACTTGGATCTGAACTTGCCTTGCTGGAAGGCCTTGAAGGGAAACAGTAAAACCATATCCCCAACAAGATTTTACAAACTAATAACAGAAAAGTATATACGAGTAAATAGCTAGAAGAATAGTTCACTAGAGTCAAACAAAGAACATCGTTATTTTTTTTTGCATTTCATTGCTTTAATTTCCTTGGTATTGTAGAAAAACAGACTAAACTGAGCTTGCTAATGAGGTTCAACATACCACATACTGGTTTCCTTTTTTCCCTCCCCTCGAGCCCTCCTCCTCCTCTAATACCACCACACACCCAGCACAGACACACACACACCTTCCTTTACCCCTTCTCTTTAGACTGCAGCATGCGCGCACATATAACACGTAATTAGGATCCATTATATACAATTTCACATTTCAATATCACCTCCCTCCGTATCTTAAAGAAGACAATAGAAGTTATCACTTTAGCCACGATTCTTTAGGACACTTCCAATCAAGGTGCTATCACAAGTTTACATTCTGAGGTCCACTCTGGACTAAATACAAAGAAACAGAATTTTTTTTAATAAAGAAAATTAAAAGGATAGAATTGTACTCAAAAGTAAGATAAATACGGACAGCTGGGTGGCTCAGTCAGTTAAACATCCAACCCTTGATTTTGGCTCAGGTCATGATCTCACGGTTGTGGGATCAAACCACTCTTTGCGATACCCACTGACATCGCAGGGCCTGCTTGGGATTCTTCTTTCTCTCTATGCCTCCCTACTCACATGCACGCATTCTCTCTCTCAAAATAAAGAAACAACAAAAACAAAAAGATAAATAGAAAAGAAACAGAGTTGAAGCATAACAGCTGGAGCTACAGCTGCCAAGTTACTCCTGTGTTTCAGCTCCCAAAGTGGGTGCAGAAGGCTCTTACCATCAATGTTACCAAAGATGTGAAGCACCCCATTTGACGCATGGGACTAGAGATAGGTAACTACTGGAAACCAAGATCTGAAGTTCTATACCCCAAGCCTTGAGAAGACAGGGGGTTGGGTGGAGTTCCCTTTTCTCAATAAAAAGAATGAAAAGTTTCTGCCGATTCTGTATGAAGGCTGGTTTAGTCGTAGAAAATTCAAGATTAGAGCACCTTACAAAAGAAAACCAACTTCTAAAACTGAAAATTAGTTGAGATCATAAAAATTATACAGTGATTAGATAAAATTTCATTCTTAACTACAGTATTATAATTAAAGCAACATTTAATGGTAACCATAATTCCTGAACTCCGCTGAAGTTTCTAAATTCTGATATTTAAAGAAAAATCAGAAAATCTTAACTATTTTAAATACAAGACAACAAAACTTTAGAAGATGATAGCAGAAATTCTCACCTGTGTTTTGACTGTGATCTTTTTCGTCTAGAATGGGATTTTGAACTAGACCTGGATTTTGAGCGAGTGTGGGAACGAGATCGACCGCCTTTTCTTTCATTGCTCTTTCCAGACTCTGGGAGGAAAAAACCACTTTGCAGTGTAAGCTCAGAACAATTAAAGATCCCAGTTAATAATCAGGCACAAGTGGAATGTACCACATATAGTGCAAGGGGCCTACTCTCTGTACATCCTCCTCCTGTGCAATTATCCTTCAGAAACATCCAAGAAAGTCATTGCATAAACTCGTTGAGTGCAGCCACCCTGCAGCAGTACATATAAACCAGATGATTATAAACAGCTGTTCGTAGTATTTTGTTGCTGCCATAACGTACGATTATAACATGTCTGTAATTCCTAGGACAGTGACTGTAAATCTTCTCTCCATTTATTTTGCTAGAGTGAAGCTTAAATTCTGAGTGCTAATTTAGAAAATGTGCTCAACTGTAAACCACCTACACATTTTTGCTTAGATTTTTAACTTTTAGTAAAAGCAACATAAAGTCTCAGTAGGTGTTCCTTTTTATCTTGCTAACACAGTCCCTGTATTTTTTCTGAATCATGGGTTCTCTTTCCTATTTTTAAAATTAAAACTTTGAAGGAAAGTGAATCTTCTCAATTAGAACATTTTAAGTATATTTGTTCTTGTTTTTAGCTTCATAATAACATTTATACCTTGCTTTAAGCAAATCAGTTTTGAGCACTAACTGTGCTATGAAAATATAAAGAACTGATTAACTCAAGCTAATGTGCCTTAAAATTCAGTATCAAGGGAAAACATATTTGGGCTAAGCAGTTCTTTGACCTTAGACACTAGTAAGTCACTTACTCTTTCTCGAGTTTCAGTCTTCTTGTAAAATGAAGGGACTAACCAAGATAATTTCTAAAATTCCTTCCAGTTCTACGATTCTCTGATCTTAAAGTGTGACCTATGTAACAACACTATTGCCTTACCTGGTTCAATGGCTGCTGAGATAAATGACTGAGCCTCTCGCACTCGCTTCATTACTTCTTCTAACTCCTTAGCTGCAGCCTGAGGTGTCATCTCAGGGGGTTTTACTATTGCATTGTTGGAGTGATTAATTCTAAATTAAAAATATTAGCATATCACAAATACACACCATATTTTACAAAACATAAAACAAATGTTTACATGATACAAAGATTTACATATGTGAGGACAGCTTGAAAGCACACTAAGAACAATACAGCTAAATACAGAATAACCAAAACCAACATCAAAACCATAATTCTTCTCGTTATCACCCATCCTTACCTCTTGCTAACAAAGTCAAAAGCAAGGAAAAAAAGAAGGAAAAACTGAACCCTAGTTGATTTCTTTAACAACTTCAATATACCAGGACAAGTGCTTTTCCACACAACTTAGAATTATAATAAATTAAAATGCTTACACCAATATTAAAATGAATCATTTCTCGTCTTACAAGATTTTGTTGATAGCTCTGCACCCCAGGAGGTTGAAGGGGAAGCTGTGTATTATGTGCACAATTTTAATCAACTGTGAACCATAGGTGAGTCAGCTATAACTTTGAACGTGTGAAGCACCTGATAAAACTCTTCCCTAGCAGGTTACAGTGGTTTCTCTGATGCACATAAATGAATTTGGTGAGTCTCGCTTTACCCCTTTCACATTGAGAAGACAAGCATTCACTAGAAAGAGATTTTTATCCTTTCATACCTGAATCGTGATCAAGCTGTATAACTAATGCAATTACCTACGAAGTTCAGATAAAACTGCTGCCTCAATAATCTGCATGAAATAGAATTTCTGGTCTTGAACATGTAAAGTCTACACCAATTTTTCATTTTGCAAACAAGAATATCAGAAAATGTTAAAATTCAAAATGTATGATTTAAAGCATTTCTAAATATTTAATACTATTTTCTTCCTGGGATCTTGGACTTACCAAAATTCTCATTACTGTATTACTCTAAGTTCAACTCTATGTTAAATCATCTGTAAGTCTAGTTATAAAGCAAAACCAATCTTATAGCTTATAGAAAAAGACCTACAATCATTACACAAAGCATATAATGTTAACATCAAATCAGATCTTATAAAATAGAAAATAAGACATTGTGAAATATAACTTTAAAGACTAAAATGGTAAGTAACCCATGTATTTCATTTATACTTAACACAAAGTCTTCCTTTCCACAAATTGCCAATTACTATTAAAAAGAAAAAAAAAAAGGCCTTAATTATATCAGCAATACTTTAAGTTTTTCCAAAATCATTAAAATTTCTTTGTTTAGGGTTTCTTACTTCAGTGGCCTGTCTCCAAACATAACTCCATTAAAAGCAAGGGCCCTTGGTACAGAATTTTGGTCTGCAAATTCCACAAAAGCAAACCGAGTTGGCTGAGTCTCATCACCTGCCATCCGCACAAACTTCACTTCTCCAACTTGTTTAAAAAATTCAAGAAGTTGATCAGCTGTCGTTGTCTGAAGAAACAAAGTCACGCTTTAATAAAGTATACTCTTTTTTAAAAATTAGGTAAATATTATTTTATCAATCGACAGGACTTTTAAGAATGGGAAAAGATTAAGAGGTCCTACCACTCACTTTTTTCTTAAATTAGTTACCTGGGAATTCAAATTGCCAACGTAGACTGTTCTCCTAATTTCATCAATTTTGGAAGGATCCACATTTCCCATAAGCGGTGGCTGTGGTATCTCTCCAAGTGTTGCAATGTTGGGGTCTAGTGCTGCTGCTGGTATAGCTCCCAAACTGCTAAGGGAAACACCCAACTACAAAAAAACAAACAAACAAAAAAATCACATATTTTCTATTAGCATCAAACATTACCACTCTTTAATCTTAAAAAGCAACAATCAACTCAACAAGAATGGAAAGTGACTAGGGAGTCCAGGTGTGTGTCTAAATTATTGAAAGTGAGGTCACAGAAGTTCTATGTACAATTAGAAATGTAACCTAATTCTTTTTTTTTAAGACATAAAAATGTCTTTAATGTTTATTTATTTTTGAGAGAGAGAGAGAGATTGCAATCAGGGAAGGGGAGAGAGAGAGAGAGAGGGAGACACACACTCCAAAGCAGGCTCTAGGCTCTGAGCTGTGGGTACAGAGCCTGACGTGGGGCTCGAACTCATTAACCACAAGATCATGACCTGAGCCAAAGCCAGACACTTAACTGACTGAGCCACCGAAACACCCCAGAAATACAACATAATTCTTATCTGGGTATTTTAAATACTTTCAAACTTGAAACTAAAAATGAACAATCAATTCTCATTTTCACAGTAGTTACGTACTATGAAGTTGCCATGAACTGGATTATTGAATATGTTATCACTCCTAGGGAAAATACAGGGCTAGGTTCCTGAAAGCTTCTGGTCACAGTTTCATCACCAATAACTGCATTATCTTGTTTTATGTGTTTCTAGTTAAAGACACCTAATGTAATATATAATGCTGATTCATTAACATTGAACTCACAGCCAGAAGCACTATCAACCAGTGCTTCAAATGAACCTTATCTAACCCCTGGGTTTTCTCTGTAAGGCCCATCAGTCTTCCAGCCCCTCAGGAACATGAGACAGCACTTCAATACTTGGGTACTAGCTTAAAAAGCAAAATCAGCAAAAAAAATACACAAAAAATATTACAGCATTACAGGTAAGACAAGAAGGCAGGGTACTGCTGTTTGAACTTAGCTGAAAATGAACATATCAAGCAATTCAAATTATTCATCATTCTGTGGGTCAAGAAATGACCGAAAGTACCGCCATGTACTGATTTTGAGGTTTCAAACATATTTTAGCTAGTTGGTGAATTCACAAGCACAGAATTCACAAATAGTGAGAATCAAGTGTATCCTGGGCATTCAGCAACAGTGACTAAGTTCTTAATAATCATGGCTCCTAACTTTTGCTAACCCTAGAAGATAGATATGAATATTATGCCAATTTCATAAAGAAAAGGACTTACAGAAGTTAATGATTTTCCCAAAGCTATTGAGCTACCAAGTGGTAAAGGCAGGGAACCACTATATACAGACTAAAACTAAAACAGGTACAAAGTTTACCTAACAAAGGAAATCGAAAATATTAAACTTACTTATACTCTGGAAGGAACAGAAAAAAACCTTTGGATGATCTTTCGTAACATAATTAAATTCAGTTTTTAGTTCAAGCATTAAGGAACTTTTTTTAAATTTATTTGAGATACAGAGACACCGTGAATGGGGGAGGGGCAGAGAGAGAGAATCCCAAGCAGGCTCCATGTTGCCAGCACCGAGCCCAATATGGGGCCTGAACACACGAAGCTGCAGAATCATACCTGAGCCGAAACGAAGAGCAGTACACTTAATCAACTGAGCCACCCAGGTGCCCCAAGGAACATGTTTTTAATGTGAACTTAAATTAGAAAAGAAAGTATCTCAAAATTTGAAAATGGAAAATTCTGCAGAAAAATGCGAAGACATTTCAAGGGGGAAAAAAACACTACAACTTTCCATTTATGCAATTTAAGAAAATTTTGAGCACTGACTGTATATTATTACAAACTAAGATTAAGCAAATACCAAAGAACAAGACTTCCTAAAGGTGAAAATGTAAGTTGATGAAACAATTATCACTTACAATTGTCAAGTGGCCTGTGTATCATCTTCTTAAAACATGCCAAAGTCATGTCTTACCCTGCTTAAAACTAATCAATGGCTTCTAATTACCTTTAGAATAAAATTCACACTCCTTTCCATGGCCAAAAAGCCCTATAATCAGTACCCTATCTCTCTCTCCAAAATCTCACAACACATACTTCCACCACCCCCATTTACAAAGCTTTAGCTATATGGACTGCCATTCTATTTATTCATTGAAAACACAAGTTTTTCCCACCTGATGCATTTCATTTGGCATTCCTTCTGCCAGTCAAATCCTTCAGGCATCATGTCACCGATCCCCTCTAAGAGGCTTTCCCTGACTTTATATAAAGCTTCATTTACTCTCTACGACATCACTGTTTTGTTCTTCATAGCACATACTATAATCTGTGGTATCTTGCTAGCAGATGTTAGATTTGTTGCTCAGCATTACCATTTCAAGTTATCATAAAGTTGTATAAAATATCTTAGTTCAGAGTGAGTGAGTGATCTCTGTGAATCAAGACTACCACCATCTGAGCCTAGTTTTTCTCCATGTTTGCTTCTGTACTGAGACACTCCTTTTTTCCCCTCACCCCTTGTCTTCTATTGTATAAGGTACAAAGATGTTTGAGCATAACATTAAATTTTACTGTGCAAAAGAATTACTACATCCCATTAAGTTAAATAACAAATATGGGTCTTATTATTTATTAGTTTTGCATGGATTTAAAGCATTAAACAGGCCTTTCCAGTTGTAAATCTGTTTGATCTGCAAATTTTCTCCACTGGGACACTATACTTGGAATGGGCTTTTCCAAAGCATCTAATCCAACCCCTTTGTTTCTCAAATTTAAAGATCATTCAGTTCTTTAGGAACTTTTTTCTGTCTCTTTTTACTACACCATTCTGCATATACCTATGCTATTTAATAGGGTTGTCACTAATCACACACAGCTGTTTGAATTTTAATTAAAATTCAGAGCTTCAGTCACAAGAGCCACGATTCAAGTGCTCAACAGCCCCATATTACTAGTGGCTACCACACTCAATAGTACAGACACAGGCATTTCCAGCACAGCAGAAAGTTCTGTTGAATGTGGATGCTCTGTAACAATAAAATTACCCTTCTTTTTATTAGTCTACTTTCCAGCTCTGGTCTAAGAAACTGAAGTATTTACCCTTTTGGTCTTTGATGGGGTAAAGATGATCTAGGTTCCTGATGTAACACTTTTGCTTTCTGACATAGAAACTATGGTCTCCCTGAAGACGAAATATTCTAGGCAGAGATGAATACAAAAGTACAAAAGTCCTAAGGCAAAAATATGCTTGTAATGTCCAAGAAACAACAAAACCAATATGGCCAATATAAAGTAAGCCAGGAAAACAGGTAGAAAAAAAAGTCAGCGAGGTAAGCAAGCACCAAGTCATAATGGGCCACTTCCCTGTTTTCTAACTCAGTATGTTCTTCATAAATTAAATTTCAACGTAATAGATATCTACAGCTGAAATAAGAGAAAACCATTTCCTCTCAAGGCAACAAATTAAATAAAAACTTTAGGCTATTGCTAAATAAACCCTAAGAATTTTCAAGATAAGAAGACAATATTGTCTGAGAAAAAGGTAATGATCCAGAAATTGATATGGTAAAATATACCACAAAATAACCAAATTAAAATTTTCTAGAAAATTTCTAAAAAGCCCAACTCAAATGATCAGATGTTCTATTAAAAAGCATTTTCCCAGGGGGCCCCTGGGTGGCTCAGTTGGTTGAGCATCTGACTTCAGCTCAGGTCATGATCTCGCAGTTCGTGAGTTAGAGCCCCGCATCGGGCTCTGTGCTGACAGCTCAGAACCTGGAGCTTGCTTCGGATTCTGTGTCTCCTTCTCTCTCTGCCCCTTCCCCACTCATGCTCTGTTTCTCTCTGTCTCTCAAAAATGAATAATTGTTTAAAAAAAAAAATTAAAAAAAAAAAAAAAAAAAAA